TGTTCATATTGTGCTCATGTCATATTGAACATGATGTTATAATTGCAATTGAAAACTTAGTTGCATAATGATACAAAATGCAATTGTTCATTACATTTGCGTATGTACGGGGGGCATCAAATTCATGGGTAATTGACATGAGAGTGTGTGTGTGTGTCTGTGCATGGTTTGATCAAACACCATTCTTGGTGGATGATGCGTGGGCTTGAAAAAGTTGGACCAAAGTTTGACTGAGTCGCACGAGTTTGCATTGAAAATAGGATTGGGGTTCATAAGAAAGGCTAGATTGTCCCTCAGGTGCAAAACTCGGTGATTTGGATACGCACTCTGTTGGTATTGAGTTCGTAAAATATGTCGGAGTACGCGAAGCCGTTGGTGGAAGTCTATAGATGTCATGTCAGTTGGGTGCTTGTTGGTGAAAGTTCGTAAATACCCACTCCAAAAAAGATCTGGTATTTATAAATGGTCACTAGATGTGTAACATCAATGGTAGGGGCTTAGAATGCCCGGATTCATACGCATGACATTGCATGTGTTATGAAAGCTAGTGAAGGCTCTAGTTGCATTGAATATGTGAGTTTCACCTCATAACTTGGTATGATATATGACATTCATTCTTGAAGTTGTATGTTCTTGGATGAATTCTTGGTTGGTTATTGAATTACATGTGAGCATTTCATATGAATCAAGGTTGAGAAGTAGTCACTTTAAGAGATACCCTATTGAGCGTGGCTCACCCTCTATGGGGACAACATTTCAGGCATGGGACAAGAGCTAGTGGACGGCTCTCACTTGGGCCCTCATTGACGAAGAAGGCCGAGTTGTGACTTTAGATTACATTTTTGTAAAACAATCGTGTAATTAGTTTTGGATATGTAACGTTATATAAAAGATTGTAAAATGAAATCATATGAACTATATTTTGTATAAAATTTGATATTATATGAGTTTGGGTGAATGTTGCATAAGAATGGATGAGTTGAAATTGAAAAATGATTGAATTGGGGGAAAATTGGACTCATCTACTGATAGCAAGTCTTGACCTACCGGTAGAACAATTTCAGAAGGCTCAGCTACCGGTAGGCACATTGATTTTCTATATGTAGAACAATTCCAAAGGGCTCAACTATGGTAACATGTACACGAGCTACTAGTAAGTCCTTCAAAATTTTCAAAAATTTAAAATAACTTTGTCAAACCTTCAAACCTTGAATCATTTTGTTCAAAGGATGTAAATGGAGTAATAATAAGGATAAATTGATGTATATGGGACCTTGGACTAGTCAAGTGATTGAAATGTATACAAGTTATGTGCTTGCGAGTGTCCAGTACAAAGGAAACTCTATCCAAACTATGTGTTGGTTACGATCCCAGTGAAAGGGATGTTATGATGTGGTGTTGGGTTATGTGGCATTCAAGAGTACTTCTGCGAGTTAATGGATGATCAACGGGTTGACAAATGACCCCCGGTTTTAGGGGTGTCACATGCTAGGTTTGGGAAAGGCACTCCCTATTTATAGGTTCGAAATAAGGGTAGTTTTAATAAATAAAAAAACTTAGATTTGCGAATAACCGCTTGATCAGTGAAAGGGCGGTCATAGGGTGATTGGCACTAGAGTGAAAAATAGCGTCTCAAACTAGCAAAAGACCATGACTGCTCGAGCAACAATGCGAACCGCTCGAGCGAGCTCTGTGCTAATCCCTTGTAGCTTTTTCCCTTTTTATCCTAAGTCATCAATAGACTGCTCTAGTGAAGGCAAGCGAGAATAAGGCAGTCCCTACATGTTTTTATGCCTAAAACCATGCAAAAATTTGTTCTCTTGATCACTAAAGGGTGTTCTTCAAAGAAGGGTCTAATTGTGACTCAAACTATGTTTTCATAAATTATAGATGGATTGAAAAAAAATTTATTTTAAAATTACCTAGAAGTCATAATCGGATCACTTCCAATTCCATTTTCATCCTAATCAACCTAAGTTAAAATAATTAAGGGTTCATCTTAGGTGTCTAATTTATTACCTTTGTTCTAAGCGTGAAGATGTATACAGAGGTTGAATGATATAGATTCGACATTTAATCTTCTCCCTTCAATGACGCTTTAGGATCTTGAAGTTGATAGCATTATGACCATGAAAATGATTGAGTCCACGAAATTAGCCAATTGCAACTACATGATCTAACAAAGAGAATTTTTAAAAAGATTTGAGTAGATATTTGAGTTTATCCATTGGAGAAGTTTTTACTCAAATTTGAGTTATAGTTGGATATGCTCTTATATCATAAAAATTTTTTGGATCAAGTAAAAATTTTGTTCACTCTCCCTTTCTCTTTGATTTAATGTCTTGAAATTTTGGTTACAGCAAATGGGTTTAAAACCAAAGCAATCTGAAACAATTTCGTTGATTTCGAGTCGTTGTTCCGGTTACAAATCTACTGGAGTTTTCAACTTCCAAAGTTTGGATGATGCAAGATTCTCAAGAGTTCTATACTCTTCTCGCAAGAACCTCTCTGCATTCCAGTGGGGTAAAACAAGGCCATAGCCAAAACGTGCTGCAAATGTTACCCGGAAATTAGCCTTAGTCATAGGTCGTTTATGGCCATACTCCAGCCGCTCTCACAAAATACCCACCAAACTCAAGACTAGAAATAGAGTCACTGACTCTAATTGAGTTCTCTGTACCAAAAAAGAGGACTTCAGTGGATTTTCAAACATCCTCAATGTCGCAAAAAATTATTGGCAGGAAGAATGAAAAAAAATAAGAAAAGTGCAAGGATTAACAAGTGTCTTTGACTCTTACTTTCCGATTCGCTGAAGGGCGGCTACTGTCATGTTACCAAAACATTTGTTCACTGATGAAGAGTCCTAGACCCTTAAAATCCTTTTTATTTTAGTGACGTTGAGTCCTTCCCATGACACGAGTTATAGGAGTTTTCGACTCCTTGAGTTCGAAGTTAAAAGATTATTTCACTCTTTTGTGAAACTGGTTCCTTTGAATGGAGTTTCCAACTCCCCTTCACTCACTCTTAAGATTTTAAACTCTTTAACCAAGACTCAGTTTTTCTAAGATCATATCAAAGAATTTCTAACTCTTGAAAATATTCTTAACTCAAAATTTCTAGGAGATTTTAATACCTTTCCTCCCCATCATGAACATCTATAAGGGGAAAAAACATGGCAGCGACTTAAAAGACTACTCTTTAAAAAAATGCTTCTTTTGTCTTTTAAAGACCATTAAAAACAGGATTTTTAACCACCGTCGAGAGTCTAAGACTCTTTAAAATTCAATTTGTTCTGATGATCCTGAACCACTTCCGAAGTCACAAATTTAAAAGTTTTCAACTCCCATAATTCGGTGCGGCACAAGGGTTATAGGAGTTTACTTCTCCAAACTCTACTGATGCAAACAAAAAAAAGTGACCATTTGGACTAATGGAGTTTTAAACTCTCTTATCGCTATTGGGTCTGTTGAAATACAAACAGTATTAAAGAGCATTGAAGTTTTTTTTAATTCCTATATGACATTCTAGATCACATGAGCATGGAGTTTCAAACACCTCTGCGTTCATGCGTTAAGAAATGAAGTCTTCAACTCCATGGAATCGCAATGATTCTCAATTTCATGTCCATCATTTAAAAAAAAATTGTTGAGGCTTTTCACCAATAATTCAAGGAGTTTCTAGCTCGTATTAAACAAAATGTCAGGGAGTTTGCTGACGTCGCAAAAGCCTGCATTTGTGATCAAACTAAAAAAAAAATTATAATTTTTGACAGAAAGGCTAGAGCCTTAAGGTCCATTTGGTTAAAAAAAAAAGAATAGTGAAAAGTGAAAGTGATAGAAAGTGCAGTGAAATAAATGAAAACGAAAAGAAAATATATTTTTTTAATGTATTTGATTAGCATAAAAATTTGAAAGAATTTGTTTTTTAAAAAATTTATTCTATTGTCTGAAAGGTAGTAAAGTTGCTAGAAAAATTTAAGAATTGTCTAAAATATCTTTATTTATATTGAAAAAGATGTTGAACTTGAAAGACTATGCATTTATCCACATTTATGATCAAAGTAAATAAATATAAAATACTATAAATGTAGAAGCAATGCATGGTTGACATGTCACAATTTTTATCTCTTCATTCTATTGTTTAAAAGAAAAAAAAATTATAAGAAAATTTGTTTAATTGTTTAAGTTACCCCTAGGTATATTAAATTGATTTAAAGAAAAAAAAATATTATAATTAAATTACTCTTAATTATATTAATCAAATTTAGCTTTGTTGAAGGTTTTTTGTTTTCTAATTCCCTAGTTAGTGTTGTTGTTGAATTTGATATTCATATATGAGAAAGAATAAGAGATGGCTATGGACAAAAGGGTCAAGTCTGAGTAGTAGCCACATTTTCACTCAATTAATTTTGCAAGAAACCAAAAGTGTCCAATACAAGAAAATTTAGCGGGCCTACAATCTCACTTTCTTGTAAGTTATCCTTTTTCTCGCTAAACAAATATGTTTCATTTTTTTTCCGTTTCTTGTGTTTTTCAGCATTTACTTATTAATCAAATAAAATCTAACAATTTTTTATTATTAACTTGTTACATAATACTTAAATTTGAGCAAACAAATAATTTGAATAAATCTATATCAAATTTTTACTCAAATTTAGTTAAATAGATACATAAATTATACAATTTTGATCATAAATTATTCAAATTTTAATTAAAAATTATAAATATTACAAATTTTTTTATCAAGAGTTACCGAAATTTTAATCAAAAGCTATCCAAAATAGTTTTTGACTATATTAATATCACGTGATAAGTTTTTGATTAAAAACTATTAACAATTTATATATTATTTATTTGAAGAATCATATAAAAATATATTCAATATTTCATAAAATAAAATGACGCAGTTAAAATATTATAAAATAAAATGAAAAAAAAAATGAACCATGTGAATCTCAATATTAAAACCCCAAAGCTGCATTCTCTCTGCTGGCGTTCCAGATTTTTAGAGCTTCCAAAGCAGAAATCAGCAACACTTGTCCGATTATTTTCGCTCTTCGAAAACTCATGGCGGCCTCTGTCGCCGGATCGGCCGTCGTCGATTTTAAGTCCGCCGGAATTTCCTCACCTTTCCTCTGCGGAAGTTTTTACACCAATAACCTATTAAAAAAGCTATTTCCGGCAATTCTCTCCGATTTCCCAATCGATTCATCTCCAACGCAAGCTCAACTCGCAATGCCAATCGAGGAGCTCCTTCGCTTCCGGTGGTGAGTCACTTGAACAAATTCAGTGTTTTAATTGGTTGTAATCACTTCTTAACTGGCTTTAATACCTCGCTTTCGGGTGCGATTGGAATTGAATAAAGACTTTGTGTACTGCGTATGATACTCATGTGTTTTGAGTCAAAAGTGTTTTGAATATTACAACACAGTATTCTCTGCTTCAGGTGAGATTATTATTTCTTGGTTATTAATGTCTGTTTTAGTTTTTCTTTGATTGCACAACAGAATAAGGGTCCTCTGGGTTGTTCAAGATTTGGCTAGAAAACTTTCCCTTTTTAATAGCATTTTCTGTTTTGCCATTTCGTCATCAAGTTATGGCGCATTGAAATGATTAATTGTAAACAAGTAAAATAGTTTCATTCTGGAGATAATTTCAATTTCAACTGGGAATGGATGCGATGATCCTATAGTATTTGTTATGCTGTTGTTTTTTGCAATTCATATGCCTTATTAATGTTTGTCTGACAAATTTCCTTCTATAGAAGGGTTTTAAGCTTTATTAAATGGTAAAAGATGGCTATGGCTCCTACTGTGAAAGTGGTTCTTGGCTTAATTAACTTTGGTTTCTTCTGGATGTTGGCGGTTTTCCCCGCCGTCCCGTTCCTGCCTATTGGAAGAACTTCAAGATCCCTGCTTTGGGCTATGCTCATGGTCATTTTCAGACTCATAACTCTTCGTCAAGCATATGCTGCTATTGATCTTCAGATTCTTGGTCTTCTCTATGGGACAGTGGTTGTCGATGATGCATAAATTGAGTTTGTACCCCACCTGTTAGAGGAGTAGTAATAAATGCAGTAATTAATAAGTGAGAGATAGAGACAAAAGAAAGATAAGGTTTGTAGTGGTTCGGTCAATGTGACCTACGTCTACTTTGAATGACTATGGTCGTCGGGTATTTTATTACTTCAAGTGAGTAGGGAGAGCAAAAAATTACAAAATTAGAGAGATAAGAGAGAGTTTTGCTCGATTGAATGTGATGCCCCCCAAGTGTTGGAGGGACTTACAATTTGGATTTGCACAAATTGATTTTATACACCATCTGTCAAATGAGCAGTAATAAACACAGTAATTAATGAGTGAGAGATAGAGATAAAAGCAAGACAAGGTTTATAGTGGTTTGATCAACGTTAATTACATCCATTTTGAATAACTATGGTCGTCGAATATTTTATTATTTCAAGTGAGTAGGGAGAATAGAGAGTTACAAGCTTGGAGAGATAGGAGAGAGTTGTACTCAATTGAATATGATGTCCCCCAAGTGTTGGCGGTGCTTGTAATTTATAGTTGTCTCATAAAAGATTTAGGCCAGTTATTAGTAATTAAGTGGCTAGTCTGGTGGAGCTGGTATCCTCTTCTCAACCAATGAGACAGTTACGGTGCTCTCCATAGAATTCGGTTAAAGGATGACATGGGATTTAACTCTTTCCAAGGTGACGTGAATGAGGCTTTGGATGACTCTACATGCTCCCTTGTCGATGTAGCTCCTCGAACCTGATGAGCTTGACCGGGTGTGGACCACTTTGGGCTGGACTTGTTGGATCTCTTGAAGTTGGGCTATTAATTCAAATTGGGCTTATAACATAAGTTAGGCCCTTGGGCTTGGCTCATCATTTGCCCCCCAATACCCTGCGTCCGATGGAACTTGGAGAGGAGGACATTCGACTGAGTTTGAATTTTTAACTGAACGCATCACTAGAAATACTTCGGGAGGCCAAAACATATGTTTATAAGCCTTTATTAGGCTTTAATACTGTCTATCATTGCCAGAGGTTGTGTGTCTTGTATGGGTGGCGGAGAGCTTCGATTTGATATATTATAGGCCCCGTTTGGAGTAATGAGTCAAAAATTACGGTCAAAATAGTGATCAACCCTTCTAATTTCTTGAAGACTCCTTTTGATTGGCGACTCCTTCCCTACCTGTAGACTCCTATTGCTTGTGGGACACCATTAGCTATATAAACTTTTCTTTTGCTTCCTTTTTTTGGATTCTTGAAGAGCCCTAGGTTATAAATTTGGGTTTTTAGCTTTTTCCTTCCCTTAATAGGATTTTAAAAGCATAGACTATAAATAGGAGTTTCTTCTTCAGTCTACATATTCAGTATAATTTTGGGAGGGGGGAGGAGAGCCTTTTCTTGAAATACTTGAGAACCCAGAGCTAGAGATTTCGCTCATGAGATTAGTTCTTAGAAATCCATGTCCAACGAAGGAGAAGATGTACACATGATCGTCGATCTTGGAGAGGAACTTGGTTCAATCGATTTCGGGGAGAGATCTCAGGTGAGCTTCTACATTGGTGAGGAGCAAGGAAATGCAGGTGCCACCGACCCAGGTTGTGCCATCGGCCCCGCCTGGTGTACTGGTTCTTGGGCGAGTAGGCCATGTGGGCGAAGCTAGGCAAGCAGGCCATGTAGCTGAGGCTGAGTAAGCAGGCCATAGGGCCAATGTTAGGCGAGTAGGCCATGGGGCCAACGCTGGGCGAGCAGTTCAGATCGCTGACCATGTGGCGTCCATGGCACGAGGTGAGGAGATTTGGCACAAAGTGACTGCTATGTGCTCAGATCTAGGGGTTCTAGGTAAGGAGGCAGCGTTGGGCGTCGCTGTTATGAGAAAGGCGCTAAGCAAGGCGATAGCGTTGGGTGCTGCTGGGGTGTTGGCTCTACATTGGCTGCCCAAGTAGGCCAGGAGAGAGCAGGCAAAGCTAGGCGCTGATGGCCGAACGACCCTGGCCCTGGGCACCGAGTCCTTGGCGGCCCAAGCACTGGGCGCTGAGACATTGGCACTGTAGTCAAGACACCCCAAACGTTTGGCGAGGAGTTGTTGGCGACGAGAGAGGCGTAGTTGGCGACAAGCACTTTTGGTGGTGACAATTCTGGCAATGTGGTGGATGATCTAGCTCCTTCGGGTGGAACTCCTTAAAGTCAGATTCCTCAAGGCCTCTCTGATAGTGGCTTAGGCAACCCATGCCCTCACAACAAAAACAGCGAGACAAGATAGCTCTCGACAATGATGGATCCAAAGTAAGTACCATTTTTAGTACGCTTAATACTGATGGTGGTATTAACAAGATTGTTTCTGCTTATAACATTCCTCTAATGGTACTGTGTCATCGAGCCGAGATGGGTAAGCCTGCTTGTGATGACTCCTCTTGTGATGAGATGCTTGAAGTTGGGCTCAAGTTTTTCATGTCTTCTTCTATTTGTCGTATCCTGCATTAGTTTTCACTGACACCAGGACGGTTGGCGCCCCAATGGTTGGAGAATTTTGTTGTGTTTTTTGGTATTGTGGAGGAAAGTGCATCATAAGGATGCCTCTCTTGGCGAGTTTCACGCAGCTTATTATCTCAGTGAGACTCCTACTTCTAACTGAGGTTGGTACTATTATACTACGAGGGTAGACAAGTTGATTACTAGACTGCCTTACAACTATCACAGTTGAAAGTCTCGTTTCATATTCGTCGTGATGAGTGGGCTTTAGATGTTGATAGGGCTTTGGCACCAACAGGATGGAGTGCTCCAAAGAATGTTTGTACACCTTAAATACTTTTTCTTCTCTCACCACATTCCTTGTAGGTTGTGTACTCATCACATTCCTTGCAGGTTCTCTTATGCTCTCCAAGGACCAAGAGTGGAAGCTGCATGGCGTGAGGGCTCATCTTGAAAAAGACTTTAGAGCTCTTATGCTCAAAGACGATGGAGTGAGAGGTTCCCATACTGGTGTTAGGGTTGGTGCACCTTCTCCGAGACCCGGCAATTCCTCTTTGAAGAGAAAGGGTATGCTGATTTTCATGTACTCTCCTCCTTTACTTGGTTTTTCATCTTGATAACATTTTATCTCCTTTGCAGTAGATAAAATGGTGGTTGTGTTCTATTATTCTAGTAGGGGCACTCCTCCTGCTAAGGTGACAAGGATGAGCGATGTTTTGGCAAGCTCTTTCCAAGCGACCCCTCCAACGGTGCCTCCTTAAGCAGCGATTCCCTAAGTTGTGAATGTTTCTCCAGAGATTCCTCTGTCGACCACACCTTTTGTCCCCGTTCGTCGACTCTTCCTGTGGGAACTTCTATAGGGGAACCTACTCAGATTAGCTCCATGTTGGGTAACACGTGAGTCATAAGGGATCAACTTAGGAGGTTTGTTTTTCCCAACGATGTTAATGAAATTAGTGCTCTAGGCACCGAGGGAATCATCAGCACTTTTCTAGAAGGCTTGACTCAAGTAAGGGTTTGTTATCTTCCTTTTTCCAATCCTTCCTTAAGCGTTTGACATTCTTTTGACTTTTGTCTTTTTCTGGCTTCAACTGCATCTGTGTGTTTATTTTCAAGGGTTTTCTTTTATAAGCAGTTGAAACATAGTCATGAAGTTGTGCAAAATGAGCTTCTTGCTGCTTAGGGGAGGATTGCTGAGCTTGAAGCTACTAACATGACTTCTCAATCTGAGCTTGTGACGACCCATGAGAGGGCCGCGCTCGGAGAGGCTGAGTTTATGGAGACCTGTGAGAGGGCGACTAAGCTTGAGACTGAGCTTTCGACGACTTGTGAGAGGGTCGCGCTCAGAGAGGCTGAACTTGTGGAGGCCTGTAACACCCCAAAATTCACATTGGACGGCATTACAATTTAAAAATCATTCACATCATGAGAAGAACTAATAAGATATATAAATAAAGATAATTTCATTCTCATACGTAATATCTACAACATCATTCCCAAAGAATATGTCACATCGTGACCATTGCATCCAAAATAATATGTTGAACTATGATAATTACATCTAACAGAATCAAATTTGAACTTTGCAGCGGATTAACAAAATGTTTGACTTTACATGGTCTTAAAAGGAATTTTCTAGTTTATCACGTAGGAGAGTATAATTCTAAGCATCCATCCCCGGGATTCACGTTTCAATTTAGTGGAACTTCCAATGTATCGGCTCATCGACTCGGAGCTCCTCCTCTTGTACAAAATCTGAAAAATGTTATTTGTAGGGTTTAGTAGTAAGCTCTATAGCAACATCCTCCCAAACTCGAACAAGGTTTAGAAAAAAAATATAAAATAATTTGGTCTCACTTTTCAAAATTGCATATATAAATTAAAATAAAATAGTGACAATTTATTTGATCTCAAGTTAACTCAATAGCAATAATTTAAATGAAATGAATAAGTATGTCGGAGTGATAGAAATTAAATAATAATTTCATAATGTCATCTCATATTCTCATGTATGTTGGTTGTTTCTCATGAATATACATCACGATTTTACCTCGTTCACCCACCACAATCATACAATCCTAAATATTTTAGGAATGACGTATACTGTCTCTCACGGCATTGACGAATCTTTCCCAGGAAAAGTATATCATCCCTTAGCCTCGAACTTACGTGAACAATAGTAGTTGCTCTTACAAATAATAAACCACTACAAATGTTAGGAAACCATCTCACCCCTACTAGGATAGACTAACCTCTAATATTCTACGGCAGTGTTTGAATGCAATTCAAATCCATCATAACAACCATAAAAGAGATGCAATAACAAATATTTTTTTAAATCACAAGGAAATGCAAAATTCTTAAATTTCACAATTTGTATTATAAGAGTAGATCATCAACAATCCATTTTTATTGTTCATTACAAAGCACTAAAGTTTTGAAATAAAAAACAAGGGAAAAATCAAGAGAAAAATCTATTTCTCTTGGAAACTAGGGTTTTATGATAAGAAAAGAGTTTCATGGTTATCTAACCCTAGCTTTGTTTAAAACATGGTAATCTTTGCAAAAATAATAAGAAATGATGATTTCATATCATATGTATATAAATGAAAGTGAAAACATACATATACATATAAGTCATAACTGGTCAAGAATGGAAGAAACCCCTATCTTGAATTAAAAGTTTCAAGCAAAATCCAAGCTCTAGAGACTTCTTTCCTCCCTTTTCTTTTCCCATTTATCTTCTCCTAGGGTTCTAAGTGATTTGGGGTGAGAGTGGAGTGAAAGAATGGAAGAGAATGAGATGAAAATGGTGTTTTCAAGCCAGCAAATTCCAAATTTTACTGTTCATAGGGCAAAAAATTACATTTTTCTCCAAAATTACGATTTTGTCATTAAATATCTCCAATTTGATTCCTATGACTACCCTAAGGATTTTAGACGTTCTGTATTCATTTTTAATGTTATTTTAACCTAAAAATATTTATTTTTATGATTTATCTTTATAATAAAGTAAATTTACACTCAAAACATTAAAATTTCTATTTTATTCCTCCAAACAGCTATTAATGTATTTTAGAAATCTTGCAACTGAGTGTGGATGTGTGGTGAAGATATGAACATATTACATGAGGATTTGGAGGCTTAAAAGTTAAAGAAATCAAGGAGGTATCGATGCTTGGCAGCTCAGGCACCAGCACCCACACCATTTGGTGGCAGTCTCTCGATTTGCTTCCTTTTTGACTATGATCCACTTTGAAACCAAAGATGTTCAAAACATGAAAATTGTAGATCTGGATATCCTCTATATTGTGTCAAAAGTTTAGCTCAATCGGACGGTTGGATAAAAAGTTATGACAATTCTACAAAAATTGGTCTAGAGCAGACAGTATCGGTATGTAGTACCGGTACACTTTAGCTTCTAGTGTTCGCAGTACCGGTGCGCTACCCAGAATGCTCAGAAAGCCTATTTTTCTTGTCCAATCTATTCCAAACCCTTCCAACACTAATTCGAACTTATACAACATACATTTGTATATCAAACATAGTTAGTACAAGTTCTACTACAAGCGATTCCACATATTTATCCCAATTTTACAATATTAGTATTTTGAAAAAAGAAATGACTACTTGTTATATAAAGAAAAGAGTGTGTGGAGGGGAGTTACAAGACTCGTGAGAGGGCTGCGCTTAAAGAGGCTGAGCTTGTGGAGACCCGAGAGAGGGCTGCACTCATAGAGGCTGTCTGCTTGAGAGCTAAGGCAGATGTGAAGGCAGTTCACGAGAGAGCTTCTCGGGCTGAGGAGAAGGCTATCATAGTTGAGAGTGATTTGAAGAATGACCTTGCAGATGCTTTTATTGATGGTTATGATGAGTTCCGATAAAAGATTTATGTTTTTTTCCCTGATATTGATGTTTCAAGCTTTATGCCATCTGAGATGCTTAATGATGGTGATAGAGGATCTGACGATACTTATGGTGATTAGGACGACCATGAGAATAGTTAGAGTGCTAAGGACTATTGATTTTTTTTTTAAAAAGGACAATTTTTTTAAAAGGGAGTTTTTAAAGTGATTTTTTGTCATTGATGCTCATTTGAATTGAATACAAAAATGCAAAGATCTTTTAAAGTAAATCTAGAAAATTTTATTCATTTAGTGCTTATGTCAAGCAATTCAGGTAATAGCCCCAAAAAAGTACAATAAATAAAATCAAGTTTTTCAACTTTATTATTTCTACTGTTTTAAGGTGTCATTGATGGTATTTTTTTAGGTGTTCAGCGTTCCATGGATGGAATAAGATATTCCCCTCGAAATTCTAGATCTTGCAGGTGTCTAGCCTCACCACTTCTGTTATAAGGTAGGGTCTTTTCCAGTTTGGTCCCAACTTTTCTTTTCGTGAATCCTTTATGGTGAGGATCATTTTTTTGATGATCAAGTCTCCTGTTGAAAGGAACGAGGCTTTTCCCTCTAGT